GGTTGATCGATTGAGTATGTTGAAGTGTTTGAAGATCCTTAATACCCAGCCCACCCGCGCTTGATGGTTGACAGAGACGTTTCCAGCTCTTCTAGTGGTGTAGTTGGTTGCCGTGCCTACTTCCCAAAAAGAAATTGGCCATCCTAGAATGAAGAAGGTGGATGACCGAGATCGGAAGGGAGAGCACGGCTAAAATGTGAAGGGGGATGGACGAAAGCACGTGCTTGATGAGTATAAGACGCCCCATTTGGTTCAGTTTTTTGCTATACCACGATTGAATGTGCTTGTCGAAGTGGTCCATGATGTTGCCACAGTGGTGTTTTTTGAGTTTCCCTTTGCAAATGGTAGCTCCGAGGTAGGTGAAGGGTAAGGTTCCTTTCTGCATGGCTAGGATTTTTTCCAAGTTCTTCAAGTGGCTGCTATTAGTGGTATCTTTGACGTAGAACTTGCTCTTAGCTGAATTAATGACCTGACCGGAATCTGAAGAGTATTCGTCAAGTAGCTTCTTGAGCTTAAGTAGATTGATGGAGTCACCTTTAGTAAAGATCATTATGTCATCGACATAGGTGTGGTGACCTAGGAACTTCACACTTCCCATGTTGCCCATGTTGAAGAACTGTGGATCCAACCCCTAATGGGCCGTCCAAATAAAGACAACATAAGAAGAATAGATTTATAGAAAATCTTCACAATCATAATCTTCTTCAAAGTGGTCATATAACTCAGAGATTTTAGCATTGAGAGCTATGTGAGCCTCCGCTGCCCGAGCCTTTTTTATTTTCGTCTTCGCCTTCTTTTTCTGATTTTTGGTAAGTTTTGGCTGGGGGCTTTGAGGTACTGGGGCAGGTGCACATGTCTTCTTAGTTTGAATGGTTGGACAGCTTCTTTTGAAGGCAGAACGAATACCGTCAAACAAAGACTCTTCATCATCGTCCGAGGTGTCAACTCCCCTAATGGGAGCTTTTCTCCTTCCTTCGGCTAGTTGCCTAGCCCTACTCCTGGTGACCATATGTTACGGTGATGAGGTTGCCTTTCCTTTGATTAATTTTGGGAACGACATTGAGACTGTGGAGCTGCTGGGGATGCTGAATCTACAAGGTTTAAGCTTTGAGTCATTCAAAGCTATTGACTCACCTTCAGAGTGAGTATAAAGAGCCGGCTCTCCACTATAAGGGGCCACATCCTCGAGGGCATTAAGCTTCAGCAACCTAGAGGTAGAAAAGCAATTTAATTGGTCAATCTTGTCTCTATATCCATTTAAAAATTGTTCCACTGGCGGTTCCTCACTGTCTTGGCATGTCTCCAGAATCCGGAATGAGTTATAAGAGGAGGGGATGAAAGGAGGAGCTGTTGGGGAAAGTGAGCGGGGAGGTTGAGATTGAGTTCCTCTTACCCTAGAAGCTGGGAATCCTGGAGCTATCTGTTTTAGCGCTTTCCCTGAAAGTGATCTCCCCCTAGCGGAAAAGGGTGTGTCAGTGTTAGCATTGTAAAATTCAGCATGTGAGAGAGGCCCAATGTCCATTGCAAGCAAACTTTTTGAGCAAGTGTCTTGGTCAAAAATCATAGGGTCATAACTACATAGCCCCAGGAATTCACCATCGCAAGGTTTAGGAAGATTGGGAGTTTCACTTTCCCAACAGAGCAAGGATGTGGTTAAAGAGATATCCAGGTTGTATGGCTTGTGAACACTAGGGAGCCATTCTCCCCGACTGGTTGCGTAATCCCGGGATTCTGCTCTAGACAGGTTTCCGTAGGTGTTCTGCTGGTCTGCAAACTGGAAATTCCTTGGAGTGACACTGGATTTTTGCTGGTCTGTTGTGCTGATGTTCTGCCGCGGGTGTAGTGGAGATCGGATGTTCTCTTCATTCCCAGTTGGAAGGTCCTTGGATGGCTTCGTACTAATGTTCTGCTTCGCTGAGCTACTGCTACAGAAAGATTGAAGGTTGGAGATGAATTTCCTTAACAAAAGGTTGTTCTTACCTGTTGGCAATGAGATTGACCGAGTGCCCTCCTTTCTTGATTCAGAGATACTTATGAAATCAGATTTCCTGCCCACTTTCAAAGTCCTCTTCTCAGTAATTCTTGAGAAAACCCAACATGGTTCAAAAGAGATTTTTAAGAGGCATTCCACCAACCAACTAAGTAAATCAGAGTCAAGCCAAATAATGCAATTTCTCTTTCCTTCAACAGAGACACAGTAAGTTTGATTGTAAAAGGAATGGAAGAGAGTAAAAGTGTCATGACCTAGGGTAAGAGACGCCTGAAGATTGGCCGTCTGCTGAGTATTCGTACGGTATTCCAGAAGGTTGCCGTGGATGAAGTCTGAAGGTCTGGAGGTACCGTCAAATCTCTGATTGGTGCTTGTGTTTTTTTCGCCAATATTGTGATTGGGTTCCCAGATTGGGCTCCTCCATCCTTGAAATGAGTGTCGTCCTGAGCTTCTACGCCGATTGGAATATCTGATTGGGAGCCAATAGGCATCTCTGTTAGGCGATGAATTCTTACCTCCATTAGACGATAAACCCGGATCGAAGGGGTGAGTCCGGTAGCGGCTTCGTACGTTCAGATAAAGATCAGGGGAGGCTCTTCGAAATCCATCTGAAATTCTTCGGTGTGATGATTGTCGTTGAGAGGGAGCTAATCGGAAGGAATAGCGATTTGGTCGGCGGCGATAGTCGCCCCTCGCCCCTCTCTCTCTGGAAAAATCCATATCCTATATCACATATATATATATATATATATATTATTTAAAGTGAAAATATTATTAAAAAAGGAAAAGAGTACAGATGCAAAGGAGTGGCCAGCTCCAACACAAAAGCCGAAATCAAAGGGAAAGAAAACATTCACAAAAAGTCAAAAGGTGTAAATCCAAAAGCATGAATCTAAACTAGAGCAAACAGCAGCTTAGTCTTTTACCAAAATCCGGCGGAGGTCCCTTATCCTCAAAACAACTTCCAGCATATATATATGTATATATATATATATATACATATA